GTAAACAACTACCAGGGCACAAGTCCCAGTTTTTGACAAGGAATACGTCGCATGCCAAGTTAGACAATCATTGTTTGATTCATCATCTTTGCCGAGCTTTGTAGTTAATGCTCAATCATACTTCTCCGTTTCTTTATTACTAACATGGACTCTGTTTGGGGTCAGAATTGACTCCATACCTTTTACTGAATAGTGTACCTATATTTCATGCGCAGATGCTATTTGGAATTATTAATTAAGAAAATGATGCTATTTATTTGCTTTATTTACTACATCGTAATAAAAAAAAGTTCCAGATAAACATTCTAGCATATCCTAACTACGTATACATAGGTTTCTACCTGCATGAGAATGTCTGATACAAAGCCACTAGCTTGTAATCAACAAATAAGCCAGATTTCCACTCAGACGCAGCGACATAATATTATAAAACGGAAATGGACACGTTTTTAGAATTTTTTTTATGATTTAGACTTGTAATTTTGAATCTCTTTGGGAGCATTTGTGACTCCATCCGCCTGAAAAACTGAAATGTTTAATGTGTAAAACGTGTAAAACTAGACATAATTGGCCAATCTAAAAGGAGAAGTTCATGTGAATAGTTTGCTGTGTGTTGCGAAACATAATTTGCGCCTGGGGTCAGAAAAGACCCCAAACAGTCTAAGGGTTAAGACTGAGGCGAACTCGAAAGAGACCGACCGACTAAAACCTTTATTAGGGTTGCGAGCCACATTTTTATCACTAGGGTGGACAACACCTGACATCCCCGAGTTGTTGATCTCAGCAGTTAGCCCGGTTGCTCTGCAAAGGGGAAAGGTGGATAACAGAATACTGCGTGATATCAGTTTGTAACATATAGTAAAACACATTGAGATGATTTTCAGTTTCCGAATTTACTAACAAACTGACGTAAATCTAAAAGCCACCTATATTTACATGAAAGGGTTGTTGACTCCGACAGCGCTATGTCGTCGTCCGACATGGATGCAAGGAACTTTCACTTTCGATTAAAAACCTTTCGTGGGCCGCCAGTTAGATACCCCTGCTCCAAACCAAGAACTTTGCTTAGAGCATATTTATATACATGAAGTAATTGTCCGTTAGTATATACTTTATATTATAATATTTGTAGGCTGTAGTCCTAAGTCGTGTCAAGAGTCAGGAAGAAGACCGCCAGGTAGCATCTCCGCGTACGCGCCTGTCTCTCAAATTTTGCATTTTTCGGCCAAAATCGAAACTATTCACTGTTGTTAATTTTTCGTGTTTCGGGTATGTAACGAAACCATAGACGCCTCTCACATGCCTGGTGGCTGCATAATTTTTCAATTTCTGCGTGCATTGGAATTGAGTAAAATAGCTTGTTCTTCTTTTCTGCTCTCCGTGGTGCCGATATTAACAGTGCAATTGGCAACAGTGTTTCCGACCAGGCTGCTTCATGGTGTTGGTGGATGTGCTGCCGGGGCATGTGTGGGTGTCACGAGTTCGCAATTATTGGAGAAGGGTGGGGAGAGGGTGCTGCAATAAATAAAGAATAAATTACCGTGCAGTTCCCTCCAATATACCTATATCTAAAGCAGAGAGGGTTAAGAGCATCAACTATTGTCACTCCAGCGCCTCTGATTGGGAGGTCCCAGCATTAGTAGCAGCATTTTAGACGCTAGGTACATAGCCAGGTCGAGTTCAGACACTGTCGCATTCTGGCGGCCGGTTGCTCTCATCGGTAGTTTTCCGTGGTTTCTCCGACCAACCTCATCGTTTTCACACACACACACACACACACACACTTACATGCACTACATTCCCACACATGCCGGAAGACTGCTCGGGAGCTTAAAGCTCGTCCCGGCTGGGGCGGTGCTCTGTTATAGGATATCCCTGGTTGTGAATAACCCCCTATGTTAACGGGTAGGTCGGCGTCGGATCTTGCCATTCAGCGGGGAAGACCACCGCCGTCTTCCGCGATACAAACATGCACTACACTTACGGGAGTAACGACCTTAGCAGTTGGCGCGTCGGGGTAGTACTCGTCAATCAATGAATGTATTAGTCAATCCACATCCAAACGAATATCGGGGGACAGTGAGGGTGAAGGTATGGGCGCGCGTGTGCTTGCATGTAGATACGTGACTAGGATGTTTTGAACATCGGGGAAAGGAGATTCATGTTTGTTAGAGCTCAATGTTTTTTTGTTTGTGACAGAAAAAATCTTTAATAACAATTATGTAACTGTTAAATTATGAAGTATTAATTGATGGTACCATTGTCATTTTGTGATCGAACAGCAAATCGGTTTGTTGAACCTAAGTTTGTGCGTTCAAACCCGAACGAAGCCGTGAATTTTTAAGGGCGAAACAATCCTCCTTACGCCTTCCTTCAAGGGGGAAGTAAATCCGACTATCCCTTGTAGTAGATTTTTTGCATGTGATAATAATAATAATAATAATAATAATAATAATAATAATAATAATAATAATAATAATAATAATAATGTCCTCAGTGTGTAAAAAAAGCCTCTGTGCTAAATTGAAATCGCCTGTTTCTCGCCCTTCCTTTCTCTGCTAGAGCTTTTTCTGCTCTGAAAGGAGCGTAGTGAAATTTGCGTGGTCAGACGGCAGAGCGGGCCTGATGGCCCGAGTCTCGCCACGTAAAATACGACACGAGTTAACTAAAGGCTTTTACTACCTTCATCGGGCAGACTATCTCTCCCCGGGGAGGTGACCCCGACGCCCCGGTATTTCCCACGTCTTTTCCCGTGAGCCATCGCGCATTTTCGCTCACGGGGACGCGGTCTGCGTATGCGCCGAGAGCAATGACATAACGAAATGAGTGCGCACGCGCCCGCCCGCAAAACTTTCATCCGGGACCCCTTTAGCAAACACACGTAGTGTTTGTACCTTAAATAATAAAAAAATATCCTTTTACAAATTGGAATTCGTGAGTCTATAATTAATAACCCATAGTGGAAAAATCGGCTTTTGTTATGTAATTATATGAAATTAAGTCTGTTAGAGAACCTAAATGAATTACTTACCTTTATTGATTTAGTAAGGTACCGAAGCATGAAAAAAAAACGTTATTCTGGAGGACGCTGAATTTAACATTTCATTGTATCAACTATCGAGTATCTGATAATGTATCAAGTATTTAATATTTCTTACAATTGCAAAGCCTTCAGCCTAAAAGTCGGCACTATTTTTAGCCCGAATTGCGGGCCTTTCGGCCCCGAACGTCGCGCTACTGAGGTCGAGTTCATGCACTGACTGGAGGGGAAGTCTAGCGGCCGGCAGATCTCATTGGTAGTTTTCTCCACTTTCACCGAGTGATCGATTGGCATGCGGTGTAAGTCGCCCGTTAAATCTGCCGGCCTCTGCCAACGCCTCAAGTTCTGTTGAGTTGGCTCGTATGTAGACGCTCGAAAGAGCAGTCGATAGCTCTGCGCTGCGCCGTGCTTCGACTAGCTATAGTGGACTTTAAGCTCGGCGTAGTGGACAGCAATCGCGACCTTTAGCACTTGCGCAGATAGTTAAAAGTGACGTGCAACTCGAACTGCGCGTGCGCAGAACATCCATGTTATTGTCTATTGCTGTACGCTACATTGTGCTTAAAGTCGATACGAGGGAGTCACGAGACGACAATCTCGAACTTTTGCGCAGATAGTTATAACGATTATATAGATTATCGATGTTGTTGTTGATTGCTGTACGTTATGTTGTACTTAACGTCGATAACGGGGAGTCTGCACTAAGCAATCTCAATCTTCTGCGCAGAGGCTTAAAGGTCATGCACAACTTGAACTCGGCGTGCGCAGATCATTAATGTTGCTGTCGATTGCTGTACGCTACGCTACGCTTACGTTTCGTAATAGGAAGTCTTGAAACAGCAATCTTCACCTTTTGCGCATGCGCAGACGCTCAAATGTGATGCGTAAATCGAACAGCGCGTGCGCATAACATGTGTTGACTATTGCAGTAAGCTTGAGTCCGCACAAGGGAGTTGTTGCACGACAAAGCGTTACAGCAAACGTGCTCTCCTGCGCATGCGCAGAAGATTGCAGTGGGAGTCGAGCACTTATCTGTGCTTTAAGTCCGCATGAACACGGATGTTTTAATAGGGAGTTTGTGCGCCCTCGAACATTAAAACACCAACGATCTGCGCATGCGGAGTCCGAATATCGCATCACTTTAGTGCATCTGCGCATGCGCAGAAGATCGATAGTATTGCCGCTATGGTTTCCAAATAGGTAGTTTTACAGTACAAACATACACCAAATACGTAGCATTCAGTGGTAGACTGCTATATCGATCCTGTGCGCAGGTGCACAAAAAGTGATGCGGAACTCAAACTGTGCAACCTCAGAATAAAGATACTGCAGTCGATTGCTATAAAGCCTGTTTTACACGATCATTTTTTCATCATTTTTCGCTGGCACAGAAAAGAGACCGATCAGACTGCATATAATTTGTACGAAATAATTATGTATACTCCATATTTCGGTATAGATTTTATCCAGTTTGACTACCGCGCTGCTGTAGTCACTTTTCGGAACTTTCTCTGGATTGTAATGCGTGTGGAGCGATTTGTTCTTTTTTAACAGTTTCAGCGGTTCGATGTGTTGAATTGTAATGTGAAGTAATTATGCAGTGAGATATAAATTATTTACTGCTTTCCAATATCGTCCGTTACGTGCACAGTCCTGACATAACCTAACTTTAACTGTTATCATAGATGCGATGTTCCAATGGTTGATCTTCAGCGCTTTTTGCGGCGTCTGGTGGAAGTATTTTCACCACGATGGCGTACAAAGACAGACAAAGAAATGACCGTATAAAACGCTGGAAACACTTCCATCCAGTTTTGGCACCGGAACACAACGCGTAGAATCGAAAGACCTTTTTCCATCCAGTTTCTGTCCAGAAAAATGATGAGAGAAAAAAATGCGCGTGTGAAAGAGGTCGTGGGAAATGCGCGTGCTTTGGAAGGCGGGCGCTTGGTGCTTGCAGGGCCGTGCCTCAAAAGAGGCGGCGGCGGCGGGGGCGGGGGCGAGGACAGCGAGGAGGACGCCGGGGGCGGCGCCCTGCAGCAGGCCAGGGACCGCGAGCTGCTGCGCGAGGCTCAGCGGCTGGTGGAGGAGCGCCACCACCACATGTTTCGGCTGCAGACGGAGTCCCAGCGCATGCTGCGCGCGTTCCAGGAGCAGCTGCAGATGAACACGGACACGGCTGTGCACCGACTGGAGGAGGAACATGTGAGTGCGCTGCGCGCGTTCCAGGAGCAGCTGCAGATGACGCAAAACCATCCATGTTATTAAACATCAATAATACAAAATTCAATCATACAGAAATAATGTAGGCTTCTTTGTTGCCAAAAAGTTGATTTTATTTATTTTTCTCCTTTGGTTACTTCGGTCTGAAGAATATTCATTTTATATGTTTTATATTTTTACATGTTTTATATATTTTATAATTGAATTTTGTTATAATGTACTTTATTAATTTAAAAAAATATCAACGTCTCGTAAAAGCATCGATCACACAACATCGATGTCATCTCCAAATGGATGATTTGAAAACATCGACATTTATGTCCTATCACTACTCGGCAACACGGACCGACATACTCTCCGATTTAAACGTAAGTTAGGATCATTCAAGATCAGAATCTGGAAGGAGAGGTGGAGACTGTCATCCAATTGGGAGCGTCGTTACGACTTAAAGTTTTGGAGTACAGGTGGGTCTGGCATCAACTACTGATGCCCCTAGTTCCTCTGAACGGGAGGTAGAGGGTTGAAGTCCCGATGGTTACAGGATATTCAACACTATCTGGATAGTTAGGTTGAATTCAGTTCTGGCTGCTCTGATCGGTAGTTTTACCGAGGTTTCTCCGTTCACCACCAGGCGAATGCCGGAGCAGTACCCTAACAAACGGGCCACGGACCGCACACGATCTTTCCTTTTTCTTCGTGTTCTTACCCTCCACTAACACACAGTTACACTCACATGCACTACCCTACCACCCATGGCGGGAGGCCGGTGTTTGTCCCTGCTAGGCGGAACCCCGCTGGTGGGAAATACCTGGAAGGGGAAATAGTACTCGCTAGTCGACGATAGTCTCGCCATCCAGCGGAGGAAGATCACCCCCCACATCCCGCGATAGAACATGCTCTACACTTCCGGGACGAATGCCCTTAGCCGTTGCAGTGGCTGACGAGCGCGTGCGCGTGGCGTGCGCAGGCCCACCAGTTGGCACAGCTGCAGGAACAGCTGCTGGGCGAGGAGGAGGCGGAGCGGCAGCGGCTGCAGGCGGAGGTGGCGGGCCGCCTAGCGCGCCTGCAGGACCAGCTGCGCGCCCAGGAGCAGGCCATCAGGTGCGGTATGGCTGCTCGCTGCGCCCAACAACTCTCATTCCCGGGCCCCTGGTTACGCGAAAGTGGATCAATCCGGTTCCTGAATTTAAAGGGAAAAATCCTCTAACACGAGGTGTAGTCAGAATTCCTGTTTTGTTGGTCCTTCACACCGAAAAGTCGATTGACGGGAAAATCTCTCCGTCCGTTTGTGAACTACCTGCTAAACCGTTCAGCTGATTTTCTCCAAAATTGATCCCTATCGAGCTGGCTGATTTCGTGGCCTCTCGAATGTGAAACCGATATTTTAATTTTGTGGAGTACTTTACATCAAACGCGTGAGGTATTTTCAAAAAAAACCATCGTTTTGTATTAAATTTTGTTGTCGGATAGCGTAAAGGACTTTTAAGTGAATGTTGCAGGTCGCTTGTTCTTTGAAAACCCTGATGTTTTTGAAAATTGCAAAGATTGTACGTTTTCTGCGTCCTCCTATCGCAACAATTATTAAAAAAGAGAATTTTCCTCTTAATGAAATCTGCTCCTCAAAGACAGATTTTGGAAAAAAAGGTCATGTACAATTTTTCGAATATCTAAATACTTTTCGCACAATTTTGCGTGAAAATACAGGCGAGAAAGTATATGCTGTTTTAGCACCACTAGTTTTGTATTCTAGATATGTAAAGAACCGTCCTACATTTACTATATTATGTAGCCTTCAGGAAATTTTGGAGTAGTATATGAAACAGACGTGAAAAGTTTTATAAAAGGTTTCACAAAACAGGTGTTCCACATGGTCAAACTTTTCGTCAAATTCTTTGACCTGCCGCCTGCGAATAGTGTTTTGCGAATTGCGCTTTGGCGAATAGTGTGTACTAATATCAGTTTTGATGAATTAGTTTTCGAATTTTAATTACTTTTAATAACAGAAATAATTAAAACTGAATTTATAAACATTAATAAATTATGCAGTGACATATATGTTCAATTCTACTAGCAGTTTGTTAATTTTCATTTGTATTGTAAGAAACGGACATTTGCTTGCTCGGCAGACACGAAGGTTTCAAGCTGTGCTACCACTTAGAATTAGGCGACGTTGAATGAAATTACTGCAGTAAACGTTGAGTCGTATCATAAAATCCGGCATTATTGAATTGAATTGGCTGTAGCAATGTCTGTGTCACGACATTCAATAGGCGTCATTGCATTGAATTGGCTGTAGCAAAGTCTGTGTCACGACATTCAATAGGCATTGACTTGGCTGCAGCGGGGGCTGTGGGTGGTCTGGTGGGGCTAAGCGAGGCGCGGCGGAACTGCGCAGGGAGGGCGTGGAGGCGCGGCTGGCGGAACAGCGCGCGGCGACGGAGGCGGCGGCGGCGCGCCAGGCGGAGGAGGGCGCGCAGCGTCTGGAGGAGGCGCGCGCCGCGCTGGAGGCGCAGGGCCGCGAGCAGGCCGAGCGCCTGCGCAGGGAGATGCTCGACGCGCAGGCCGACGCCGCGCAGCGCCACCGCAAGGTGAGACGCCAACGCCCCCCACCCCCCACCCCCTAACCCACCCCGGTCACTTAAGCGGTCGCTGCATTGATTCCGGTTCTGGCTGCGCCAAGGTCCCGTAAGTGTAGTACACGTTCGATTGCGTTTGTGGGCTCCAACTGATAAAGTAAATAGTTCCGTAAGTGTAGTACGTGATTGATTTCGTTTGGGTACGCCAACGTACAAGGTAGATATTCCCGTAAGGGTAGTGCGCGTTTGAACGATAGCATTTTTGGGTACGCCAACTGAGGTCGTTTGTCCCGTAAGTGTAGTACATGATTGGTTGCGTTTGAGTAGCCAACTTATATGGTAGATATTCCCCTAACTGTAATGTGCGTTTGAATTGCGTTTCTGGGTATGTCAACTGATAAGGTCGTTAGTCTAGTACGTGTAGAATTCGTTTGTTTGATTGCGTTTGTGTGCGCCAATTGATAAGGTCGTTAGTCCCGTAAGTGTAGTACGGGTTACACTGATTTCATTTGGGCGCACCAACGGGTAAGTTGTCCCGTAATTGTGGTACGCGATTGATTGAGTTGGGGAGCAAGTTATATGGTAGATATTTTCGTAAGTGTAGTGCGTGTTTCAATGATTGCGTTTCTGGATGTACCAACTGATAAGGCTGTTAATCCCGTACGTCTAGTGCATGTTTTCGCGATTGATTTGGGATTCTCGCCCCCCAACTGTTGAGGTCCTTAGTCCAGTAAGTAATTAACCGCGATTGATTAATTTGTGTTTCCGTGCGCGTCAACTGCTGAGGTAGTTATTCCCCTAAGCGTAGTGTTGTTTTTTATCGGGGGGTGCTGGTGATTTCCCTCCCGCTTGAGAGATAGGTCCAGAGCAGACCTTCACGTCCGCTTGCGATGTACTTCCCACCAACGGGACACCTCCCCAGCCGTGGGAAGCTCTAAGCTACGGATATGTGACATGTTAGTGTATGTAAAAGTTCAGGATAGAGCAATGAAGGGAAAAGGAAGTTCGCAGGCGGTGCATGATCTGTTTGTTAGGGAACGTCAACATTCACTTCCTATCGGAGAAAACACGAAAATGCTGCACAAAACAGCCTATTGAGGTGTTCTTCCCCAGAAAACGGCTGAATTTGATTGAGCAATGTGTCTCTAAATTCCTGCCACCGTCTGCATTCGAACCTCAGGCCATCCGGAGCTAAAGGAAGTTCAAGGTTCCATGTTGCGTGTTGCCGTTCCAGGAGGTGGAAATTGTGTGAAAAGTTGTTGGAGGTGAAGTGATGCAATGCACGGGTAGCGGTTGGAGTGGGTCGTTGCAGAAGCTGGGAAGATCTTGCAGGAGCTGCAAGCTTGAGTGGCGGAGGCTGGGGCTGAAGGCGGGGCGGGCGGTTGCAGGAGCTGGAGGAGGTGGAGGCGCGGGCGCAGGCGCAGCTGGCGGAGCGGCTGGAGGCGCGGCTGCGGGAGCTGGAGGGGTTGGGCGGGGCTGAAGGCGGGGCGGGCGGTTGGCAGGAGCTGGAGGCGGTGGAGGCGCGGCGCAGGCGCACACGCTGGGGAGCCGCGCTGCGCGGGCGCCGGCTGGCGCGACGAGCTGGAGGGTGGCAAGGCTTGGCGGGGCTGGAAGGCGGGGCGGTGCGGTTGCAGGAGCTGGGAGGCAGTGGAGGCGCGTGGCCCGCAGGGCAGCTGGCGGAGCGGCCCTGGAGGCGCGGCTGCGGGAGCTGGAGGCGGGCGGCTGGCCGCAGGCGGAGGCGCAGCTGAGGCGCGGCGCGCCTGCGCTGCTGGAGGAGCAGAGCGCTGCGGCTGGAGGAGATGCGCGTGCAGCACCGCCTGCAACAGGAGCAGCTGCGCTCGGAGCTCAAGGAGGAAGGTCAGTGCACACTGCATGCCACTCGCTTCGCTCTCTCATCTCTGCATTGTTTACATTGAAACATGTTTCCAACTTTCAACGTTCAATTACTCACCCTGATCCTTCTACTAAACATCTTATCTTATTTCCGTCTCTGGTATTTGTTATACCTATACATTTTTATTACATACCAGTCTAAATTTTTATTAGTTTGGAATGGAGTAACTTTAAAATTTGCTAAAAAATACTTTAGTGGTTCCAAAACAAAACAGGAAGTGATTATGGTTCACCACTATTGTAGCTATAATAAATTTTTGCTCCTCTATAAAATTTCTCCAGATCTTTTTTTTTTGACCATCTCACTGACTGATCATGACGCCTAACGGTGTTCCTGCGGATCCGAAAATATAAAAAATATGCTTTTAAATACTGAGTTACTCCTCGAAAAAAGGTTAAATACAAACTATTGGATTTAACAGAATAAATTATTTTATCAAACAGTGTTTTGTCTGTTTTATTTTTGTGTGCAGTTGGGTGTGTTTGCCTTTTGGAAAAAGCTCAGTGGTGGCACGAGAGGTGGTTGGGCGCGAGAATGAAAAATGTGCTTACTTGTTGGGAGATCCCCCACTGTAAAGCGCGTGCAGTCCGGCTGTGTGCGTTCGGACACAAAGCTCGTGGTGTGGAGGCGGTTGTGCGCGGTGCGGTGCGGTGCGAGGCGAGTGGGCGAGTGTGCCCGCAGGAAGGCAGGCTGCGCCGGGAGCACGTGCTGCGCTGGAGGAGGCGCGCGGTGCGCCTTGGAGGCCGAGCGGCAGCGCGCGCGCGAGAAGGAGCTGCAGGGCGAGGAGAAGGAGCGCGAGAAGCTGCTGCGAGAGCCGCCAGGTACCGCCTCGCCTGCCCTCTGGCGCTCTCTCTCTCCTTCTTTTCATTCTCTTTCTTTCTTCCTTCTTCTTTTTCCTATTTCCTTCCTGCTTTCCTTTTCTTTCCATTCCTTCTTTTTCTTTCTTTCCTTTCATTTCCTTTCTTTCTTCTTATTTCTTTCCTACCTTCTTTGCTGTCTTTTTCTTTCTTTTTTTCTTTTTTCTGTTCTGTTCTCGTTTCAAGGTGTGGTCGCATATATGTTTGTCTCTATAGTGGGATGGTACCTTTGCAATATTATCATGCCGCTTCTATTTGTGGAGTGTAACAGCGGGTACGAGATTAGTGTGTGTGGTGTGGCTAATAGCTCATCTCTATTCGATCACGTTATATAAAATAAAAGTACGCGATTATTATCTCTTTCATACTTCAGTGAATAGGTGATATAGGACACGCCTTTGTATCGCAATGTGAAGCTTAGATCGATATACTATGAAGTCTCTCTCTCTCCGGTCGGGAGTAGTTGCCTTATAATATTGCTCGCAGAAACTTAAGAGAGTCACACGCAATGTGGCTGTGTGATGAGAATAGCTATATGCATGACGACCGATCGTGACTGAGCGTGAGAGTCATCATACGTTGATCACGCCCGAGTCTATATGAGAGAGAGGTGTATATATATATATCTAAGTGACAATATAGACTACGAAACTTATTGGTCTCAACACTCGAGATAGCGAGCGCACACACACACACACACTCACTCTCCTCATCGCGCACGTAACAGTGAGATAGCAACATATCTACGAAGGTCACCGATGATAAATTATCGCGTGGTCTAGTTTTGTTTGCACTCAGACGCTCGTCGTGAACTTGGAGTGGCACAGATCTATAAATATCCGAGTTAGTTGAGCGACTGTCGTTATCAGTTATATGTTACAGTGATATCTTTCTATGAACTGTCAGTCGGCCAGAAGAGCGCGCAAAACAATTGCATATGGAGATTGGCGCCGCGCAAGGATCGCTCATGGGATAGGTAGTTGTTCGAGTATCAGTACTTGTCACGTCGAGATTAAGATCGATTGCGCGAGCGCATCGTGTGGTGTAATGATTATAGGATAGCTTATATATTAGATATATATACCGAGATCAGCGGCATACGTAGCGATATCTCGCTCTCACCGACTAATCACTATTGTTAGTGAGGCGTAGGAGCGAAGAAAGCCGCCTGTGCGCTCTTATTCTATCTCCCTATACTGGCTTATTTATATAGCGATAGAGAGACCTTTATGGGGATTTGATGAGTATTGTGTGTGCTGTTCAGATTATACAATAAGAGTGGTTACTGAGAGACTTGGGTACATTAGTGCGTTTATTGGGTTATTTTGGATGACAGACGTAATATAGTATTGTATGAGTGGGCGTCGACAGAGGGATGCCACACTCTCGCTGTGAGTGGTTAGGTCTACTTATTTATCACATTATTATTTTATATTATATATTGTGAGTATGACAGTATCGTACGAGACACTTGATCTCTGAGGATATCTGGTTGTAGAGATGTGGACGATGAGAACGCTTAGCTAGTATAATGTCTGATAGCTGCGGGTGTTCGTTCTCCAGTATATATACAAGATAATAGCTATATCAGAAAACCTATTATTCTATCTAAGAGTGTTATTCTAGGTGCTTTGAAGCTTCTCTCGCATGAGTGTTCGTACTACATGAAAAGTAGGTGAGAGATACTAGATAGTAAGATTATTAGAGCGTGTGGTGTGTGAGACGTGTGAACAGTGAGTCTATATAAGACTCGTTATTACATATATATTCTGCTATGATAGTTTTTGTAGAGTGTGTGATACCGGAGCATGTGCATGTCACACACGCTCGAGAGTGGCGTGATCGCACACTTCGCGCATATACACCACTCATTACTACGAACAGATCAGATTGTCTGCTTAATCTCGATACGCGCACTCCTGAAAATTGAGTGGTGGAGGTTGCCGTTATAATTGGCACGCTCAAGTCGATCGAGAGGCAGAACATAGGAGGATCTCGAGCATTGTATTATTGTTAGTCTGTATGCTGTGCACTTCGCAGATCCATCTATAGGCTACTCGCAGATTGTTCATGTTTCTGTAGAGAATGATCGCAGCTAAATACCGAGTTCAAGCATAGTCTTGATTAGCACTCTCTGAGAGACGAGGATGATCTTTATTTTTTAAAAATAAATAATCGGCCTTCCCTCTTGTAATTGTCGGCCCCTCTGTTTCCAGAATACTCGCAGAAATGCGTTGCGAGAGAGGCTTCTGGAGGACACAAGTACCGCTCCTTGAAGGAGAAGACACCGCCTGAAAGACGGACGATGAAGCTGTCCAATCGAGCGCCGGGAAGCGCGCGAGAAGGGGGGCCGGCGGGGCGGCACAACGACGGCGGTCCGAGACGGAGCGCTCAACTCTCCCACACGCGAAACGTCGGCCAACTCCGCCGCGCGGCGCCTCCGGCCACTCCTACAACACGGTACTCGCCGCCAACATCACTCATCCGATGGCCGATTGGTCTACTTCTGTCATTACTCTGCACCTTTGCTGTAGTGAGTTGGATTCGCCCAAAATCCCCGAGTTGCACCAGCAGAGTCTGCCTTCGTATCTGCGTTCAGAATGCTGTAGCCAGACCTTCGAAGAAGTCATAAAAGTTTTGAAAGATCCGGAGGATGGGAATAACGCACGGACCTGACAACATCTTATTATCATTGGGGAGAGGGCAAATTCATTTAGGTGATTTAAAGTCTATTTTGAGGTCTCTCATGATACCCACTCTAGCTTGCGTACGCGATACAATCATCCAACTTTCCGGTGTAGTTTGTTTGCATACGAGATAGGAAACAATGCAAAGGTGCAGTGGCCAACGTAGTGGGCTTTGGGGAGACTAACCCCCAAAGAAACTTCATCTACTAGTCAGTGTTCACTGCCCAGTTTCTCAAACTCAAAAGCATGGCAGTGTTTTTTATGCGTAAAACATCTTAACCTGCTTCTATACTTTATTTCATTCATAACTATTTACTTCTAAAAATAAGTCAATAGTAGATACTGTGACATGCTTTACCATATAATAAGTCTATTGAGCATTGAAGACTGATTTTTTTTTTCTCCTGACTGCATTCATCAGTAGATTGTCACATCATGTTTCCAATACGAGTAACTGAAATACTATGTGATAATAATTATACAGAATTAAAATATCAATTTTTATGGTTGTAAGATTGTTATAATTTTTGATAGCTTGGAATCTTTGTTTTCATAAAATGAAATTAAGGGATATTAGAACCTTAAATCTTCTTTACTTATCACAATAAGGGTGTGTTGTTGGTCAGTTTATGTTGTTTTTCTTTATATATTTTCTACATTATTAATTTAAGATCACATTTTTTGCCATGAAGAAAGAAGGCATGAAACTTATCCTTAAATTTAGGGGAATTTTTAACTATCTGTGCCAGGAAGTTTAAATATAATAATTGTCTTTGGTGCAAACATCAGAGACAATATTTTGTTATCTCTTTTCATTTCCAATAGATGTTTCCCGATTTATATTCTGTAATTTCTCCAAAGATCTCTGAATTCATAAAGTTTGGTTCAGAACTAAGGTAAATTTCCTTTTGATATTGAATGGGTTAAATTCCAGTTCAAGAGTCCAGGTATAGTTGGTTGTCTATTCCTGTGATGTCTTGTTGATGTACGTGTTGCTTGTCAATCAATTCACAACATTGGTTCATTCATATCTAGATAAATTATTGTTTGGATGTTGTGTCATGGTCTTTGTTATTCAGTTTGCCCTCAGAATCTATTTTCTCAAATAAGGTTCCCCTGATTAAAAATATGTCTTTCCATCTGGTTTGTTTCCTGTGAAACTTAGTTGTAATGAGTAAAAGTAATCATTTTGAAACTCTGGTCTTATTGATCTTGTTTTCTGATTGGTTTATTTCTCTCCCATCATTCTCTTATTAGGAATTTAATAACATTTTTCCTTCTGTTTCCTTTCTTTGCCCTATTAATAGAGTTCTTATCTCTTTCAGATAAGTTTCTGAGATCTTTTTGTAAAGTTTTCTTCTTTAGATTATATTGTTTCATTACTTCTTAGTGATTATATTTCATAAAAAGTATGAGTGAGGTAAAACTTTCTGATAAAAGTCTCTTTATGTAGTAAAATACTGTAGTGGTGTCGTTCTTTGTCAGTCTTGTTGGTGGTGGTGTATGGTAGTTACGTATTTTTGTATACTGTTGTTGTTATTCTGTCTTGAGATAAAAGTGCCAATGCATTGAAATTTGAGTCACTTTCTGCTCGAATTCATGCCCCAGAAAGAGAATGTTGAAGTATGCCAATGGAACAAATCATTTAAAAATTAGTGTAATGTTATCGTGACATGTTGTTACCAGAAGCATAGTAAAATAACCTGATGTGTGTAAATGTATTTTTTTAAAACATTTCATGTATTAAATAAAGGTGTTGAATGGTGAGTTTTAAACATTAATTAAAGTTAAGGAATAACATGTTAATTAAGCAACAATTTTTAAATCATTTTGGACTAATTTAAGAATCAATCTCTCAGAAAGAATGTGTCAATAGATCTTCCAAGTAACAGATTGTATGAGAGATATTAATTACTTCCATTTCAATACAAAGGACATTTCTTAATATTTATATATCAGAGGTTATAAAGAAACAAAAAAAACACATATGACTTAGTCCTGGCTACAATCTGAAATGTTACCGTAGCAGAAAAATTGCTTAAATGTTGCGGCCACTATAAAGGCAGGTTGTGCATTAAAAATGGGGAATGTATTGAGGTCATTTACTTAGGAAACTTCTAATTTCATGACAACTTTTTTATATATAAAAATTGATAAATAATTTACAGAAATTTTAAAGCCTTTTAATAAATATAATGTCTTTAGTTTAG